CTGCGATTAGAGAACTGACTAATGTGTGTCTTGGTGCTTGTTCAGAATATTAAAAGAAAAAGTTGGCATAATGGATATTGTCTAAAAGAGCTGTTCATGCTCTCTCATCCTGTTCTCTCCTTTTGGAGTTATCTGAGCTATGCTGATCTGGTTGTTTACCCTCATGTTAATGTTAATGATTCTGAGACACTCCAGTAATACAAGAATAGGTTTGGCTTCACAGAATTTGGGACTTACTGAGCGTTGCAGTAAAACATCTTTTCCATCTGGTTTGATGCTTTTGCATCACCTTTCTTCTGTAAAAACAGGACAATTACTAGCTGTTATAAATGGTAACTAGCTTGGAGCTCTACAGCAAAGGTTTTAGAGATTCACCTTGCCTTGGTGTGCTCCTGGTGTGCACTGCCCTGCAGCAATGCAATATTGCAGACTCTGCTCTCAGCCTCTATGCCGAGTCCAGATAACAGGAATCCTGCTTCTTTCCTGGAGTGCAGCCTGGAAAGCAAGGGTTTGCTTAGAGTGAAAAGATTAGGTTCATGTCAATATAAAACTTCATGGAAATCCATGGAAATCTTGTAGTTCAGTTTAGTATTCATTGTCTCTGTTCCTGCCAGGATTATAACTTTTTTTTTTTTTAATCATTATAACTTCCTAATTCTTTCTTCCATTCAGTGTAGGAGTTATAAATTTTAGTCTGTGTTTGGCCAGCTATGACCAACAGTGCCATAACACTGCTGAGAACAGGTTGTGCTTCCTTGCAATTCTGCTCCATGTGTAAGGGGAGCTGAGCTTCAGGGGACACAAGGGCTCTCCTGCTGCCCACCAAAAAGTTCTCGTCAGATGAGCCAGGCGTGCCTGCAAAAGGCCCTGGTGGTGACCCCATCACCCCATCCATGTCCCTGAAAGACCCTGAGCAAACACTGTCCCTTTTCCTTCAGTGTTTTGCACAGAAGTGGCTCTTGCAACCTCATCATGTGCTATTTTCATCTCACTTGAAATAGCAGCTGCTTACCACAACTGGAAATGCACACATTTGCTTGGGAAGGGACTCTGATGGTGAGCAGGTTCTTCTAGAAGTGTTCATTGCAAGAAGGGCACTGGCTGTGTTTAGGGTCCTTTGGGCAATCTGCAAGCCTTGTCCCAGGAACCATAGAGAAGGTAACGAAAGGGTTTTTGAGAGGATGTAGGTCTGTTAGTCTCCTCTATTACTCTATTCAGATTGTCCAGGAAAATCTGGGCAAAGCCTCTCTAACAGAAAATCATGTCAGGCAGATCATATGGGGCTCTGGATAATCTCCTTTTTATTTTCAGAGTCTACAGAAGGAAAATTGTTCTACAGAAAGTATCACAGACTTCAAGCCAATCTCTGTTTGGATATATCTGAGTAAGCTCAAATAGTCCAGCTTCTATTGCCTGACAGGGGTAGAAAATAAGGGGGTGTCACTAGTTTTTATGGATGGATATCTGGCAGATAGAGGCACTTTTTCTCCCACTAGTTTCAGGAGAACCTCAGGATGTTCTCTAGGTTCTCTCTAGAGAGCATTGCTTTCATTGTTTAATCCAAGCTTTCAGTAGCAAGTCAGATGTTTGTAAAGATTGACAGCTGGGACTTGGATGTGCCTGTGGATGTGAACACACTGCAAGGCACAGAAGTCCCTTAGAAGTAAGAATCAACTGTTATTTCGTTTCCCACCTGAATTTTAAATCAGTACAATTTAGAACTGAAATATATATGTTCTTCTTTCCTTAACATATCTTTTTAACTTGGCCAAAATACTATGGGGACTCTCTTAGCCTTCTTTTATTAAAACAAACAAAACCAGTTTATATAAAGTAGCTTTTGCTTACAGAGACCCTCACTGGTAGAAAAGTACATTACATGAGAACACATGAAATAACCAGGTGAGACCAAACCCATCAATGATCACAATATCTTGTCACCACTGAGGACCCCGAGCAGGTGCCAAGAGATGATGTGAAGAATCAGGCAGGTGCAGAGGTGGGCCTTCATTGTGCTCTTCAGCCTGCAGTGATTTGTAGCGTGTAGAATCTCTGAGCTGGAGTTGGTATCAGCAATCTTTAATTTGTATGACTTCTGTTTGTTGGTACTGTTGATTCTGAACCTGCATAATGTTTAGCATCCAGAACATCATAGAAGCATAGAATGTTAAGGGGTTGGAATGGACCTTAAAGATCATCTAGTCCCAAACCCCCTGCCATGAGCAGGGATACTTCCCATGAGACCAGGTTGCTCAAGGCCTTATCCAACCTGGCTTTGAACACTTACAGGGTTGGTTGGAACACCCACAACCCCCCAGGACAACCTATTTCAGTCTTTCAGCACCCTCACAGTAAAAAATTTCTTCCTTATTTCTAAGCTAAATTTCCCTTATTTCAATTTGTTCCCACTTCTCCTTGTTCTATCACTACAGTTCCTGATGAAGAGTCCCTCTCCAGCTTCCCTGTAGGCCCCTTCAGGTATTGGAAGGTTGTTCTGTAGCCTCCACACAACCTTCTCCAGGCTGAACAGCCCCAATTTTCTCATCTTGTCTTCATAAGGGAGGTGCTTCAGTCCTCTAATCGACTTCATGGCCCTCCTCTGAACTAGCCAGGCTATCCGTAATTTAACTATCATGTGTCTAAATGGCCAGCTAAGTGGTTTGGCTTGTACTGGAGCTGAAGTATGATGTTGGCAGAGAAGGGAAGACAGCCACTAGAGATGCTTTTCCAAATATCTACAGTGTTATTTAGGTTATACCACAAACTAAGTGGTGCTGGGTTGATAACTGCTTGTTGCACTTCAGAAATGACTGACCCAGTAAGAGGTTTGAACACAGAATAATCCTGGGATCCTGTCTGGGTAGATGAAGCCTTTTTATACTGAAATAATATTCATCTGTAAGTCAGTTGAACAATGAATATGTTGGCTGTGGCAGTGATTTAACACCACAGTCTGTTGTTTGACATTCTACATGTCCACAAGATCTGGGTGCACCTTTTCAGTGCAAGAGGTGCGTGACGCCTGCACGGAAAGCAGGCTGAGGCTGGAGAGCCAGGGCTGCTGAAATAGGCTGGGTTTCCAGGCAAGTTCCAGGATTCATTGCTGCTCCCCATATATCTGTTTTAACCTTAAGTCAAAGATTGATTATTTTTAAAGGTTAGCTGTTATGTAGCAAAAGAAACCCTCGCCTTTGCCAACTCTGAGAAGTCACTGTGGTCTGCAGCTTCACAGTTTTAATTTAGACAACAACAACTGCCATTGTAGGTTAAGCCTCCTTATTACTACTCATTTCAGTTTCTTTGAACAGGAAAAAAACCTCACAGCCTATGAGTCACACCCCCACTTTACTGGTCTCCTACTGGAGTCAGCTCTCACCTGGGCTGTGCAGAAAAAGGATAGCGAGGGGGAACAGCAGCCAAATCATGTCACTAAGAGCAATTCTTGCAGGTTAAACAAGGAGACCTTGAGGAACAGGGTCTGCCCTCCTTTACCTTCTAGCTGTTGCCTGCTGTATCTCCTGCTGGTGCTGGGTCAAATGAGCAAGACCCTGCTTTTCTCGGAAAACAGCTCACACCTCAGTCAGACAATTGATTTACCACCGCTCACCTTGTCCTGGTGCATCCTCTTGTCAAGTGTGAGCATTCACAGTCCATGGGAAGTACAGGATGATGTATGCTCTTCCTGATATCTCCCTCTCCTTGCCAGGTCAGCTGTGGTACCCACACACCGTATTGGTGTGTACACTGAGTGAGAGCAGGCACGTGGACACAGAGGGTGCCTGTTGACAGTGTGTACACTGTTCCAGCTCCTGGCTGTTAAATCTTTCTCTCTAATTCTGTACAAGATGGATTTATAACACACCTAGTGCTAATGTAACAATGAAGATTAGTCCTTTACTAGTCGAACAGTAATACACTTTAATTTGCCTACAGCTACTGTATTGTATTGGCATGAAAGGAAACAGCTTTCTAATGCAGCTTCATCTGCTGAGCAGAGAGAAATCTGCACATAAGACTATAGCTGGCAGCAAGATTCAGAACAGGAGAAAAACAGCACATATAAAAGTATTTGTGAGTTGGAGGTATCCTAACAATCCTAGTTTATTGCTAAACATGCCAGGTACAGTTATGCAGTTTGCTTGGCAGGTTCACAATTGCTTCATCTGTTTTTTCACCACTTCATCCCCTATACAAAAATTTGTCCTGGAATAAAAGGTGTAAATTCATTAGTTTCCAACTTTGTTTGTGACATTAACAAAAAAGTGGATATTATGAAGTTCCTCAGAAGCTGGTGATGTTAATACATTCTATGCTGTGCTCTGTACCTAGAGACACACTGGAAATCTCAACTCTTAAGCTGTTAAGCAAATGTTTCTGCTGTCTGTTGTAAATGCAGTGTTCACTTGACAAGTGTCAGGCATTCTTTGAATGGACTTGTGTACAAATAATCACTCAAGTGCCAGTATTTACTATAAATAGAACTCTCTTCTTCAGGAAAGCAGCAAAGCCATCAGCTTCTCCCTTCTTGAATGGCAAGGGAAAAACTTATCATGTTTAGGACATTATCACTTAATACTTACTGCATATGGGATAGAACCTTTTTTTGTGGGCATATTGTGCAAGTTAGATGCAATAAATTATATGTTTCACTTATTTTTGATCCTTTTTTCCCCAATAAATCACCAATTTAATATAATTATGCTTAAAATAACAGGGTTTTTTTTCTACAGGGATATGTCTCACTTTCAACAAGGCCAAGGAAGAACTAATAACTTGCATGCAGAGAGGGAATCTATCTCTTCTGAAAACTACTGATGTAAACTGCTGGTGGGAAACTGTCACCACTCTCAACCAGTAACCTTCACCCTCCACCTCTTCATCACCAGGTCCTGCAGACACATGGAATAGTTAGAATGGTTGTGTGCAGACATGCCCTGATTTGACATTAAAACTGGAAAAAATATTAACAGATTTTTTTTTCTTTTTTCTCCCTCAAAAAGTTGCAACGACATGACAAAGAGGATTCCCCTGACAAGTGGAGAACAGAAGAAGAAATGGCAGCTGAAGCAGCAATTCTGAAGAAGTATTTTCAGGACAATTAGAGGTAATGATTTATACATTGACTTACTCCTGCAACACCCTAAACTCTGTTCAAGCCTCCTCAGGCGTCTTGAGGACAGAGGTGGAATATGTAGAATGGAACAAAGGAAACCAAAGCTCTTAGGTTGTGTTTTTTTCTGAAAATACACAGCACTCCAACAGTGGCTGAAATGACATGCTCCTTCTGAAAAAATCAGCACCATCCTAGAGCATTTTGTTTCCAAACAGAAAGAAAAAAGTGTATCTGGAAATCAGAATCATCAGTATTTACTTAAGAGGAGTGTCTAACCTAACATGTCCTCCCTCTGGTTTTAGAACAGAAAATAGGCCTGGTACCTCTATGAAGAGCTAAAAACTGCTGTGTTTGTATAACCAGATATGCATATGCACCTATACGTACAAAATCCCAGCAGAATCCATACTGTAGAGCGTGTTAAGCCAATGCTAACTTAATGTGTCAAATCTTAAATCATCTGATCAGTTCAACTTTCAAAATTAGGCCTGCTGGAAAACTGCCTGTTCTGCTGAATTTTCCACTGGCCCGAAAAGAAAAAAAGATTTGCAGGGAGGATTAGAAAAGAGAAAACACTTGGCAAACACTAACATTGGTGCTCTAGAAATTGAGAGTTTTTCATTTTGTACTTGGAGTCCCAGAAGCCAGATTCTTGCAGCAGAAATGAACTGGCCCCCGGAGATCAATATGAGTTACGCTGGGATGTGCGCTGCAGCAGGGATGCCAAAAGCTCCCTCTCCCCTGTTCCCCATATGTTGTTTGCCATCATCCAGCACTCTCATTTCTCTGTCATTTCTGACTGTTTCCTATTTTTTCCTCTCAAGAACCAAAATCCCATAAATATCCCTCCTCTCTGCCTGTGACTCACCGCTTGCAGCCCAGCTTGAGAAATCTTGGGCTGAGCTACACGTTGTGTGCGTGGCACACTTACGTGGCAGCTCCCATCTCCTCTCCCATTCTGCCATCTCCGTTTGGATGACATTTGGGATGACTCTATTTGGGGTTCATCAGACTTCCCTTTCCATTTTCTCTTGTATGATGACCACGCTCTTGCCTTCTCCAGCCAAACTGGTTGGCTGTGCCAACCCTTCTGCGGACTGGCACGGAGAAAGCTGTGTAACACATCTGTTAATAATTCCCATCTACGAAGGAAATTTGCCCTCAGCAGCTGGGACCTAGGGACCTCCAGGGTTTGGAGCAGCAGGGTTTGGACTACACAGTCAGGTTTCTGCAGTGGCTGCTGGAGTTGTGTTTAGACACCCACTTTTCACCGTCTCAGAAATAGGCTCCTCGAAAATGAATTACTCAGCCAGAAAGAGCATTTCCTTAGGTAATGCGTGTGTAAGCACTCTTCTCTACTAACAGAGGCATTATGAAGTGCTTCATCTATGGCACAGCAACAAATGAACAGTACTTAGGATAAAATGGCACATCTCTATTCCAATGTGATAATGTTTCCCATTATTTATTTGATAGTTTTGGGGATTTTTTTTTTTTTTGGTCTGGTCAGAAATGAGGCAGAAATGCTTTTTTTTCTAGAGATTTTTAAATCCCCACATATTAATAAAATGTTCTTTATCTCTACTGATACTAAACTCAGAGCTGGATAGATGGTGTAAATTCATTCCTGCAAGCAAATTCATGTGGCTGAACATCTATTTCCATTTATTATGAAAATAAATCAGCATGTGTCTGTGTGGATGACCTCTTGATAAATTTCCTGTGATGTAAAGGTCATTACCTTTCCTAGAAGAAACTGGGAAATTAAATCTTACTGGCATCATTATCATGAGAGTATTGTGCCTAGTACAGGCAGTCCTTCCAACCCTTGATTCCCAACACAAGGCATCACTGTCAATCTCTTCTCCCTGACATTGTTTTGCTCCTGAGGTTTAAGGCTCTGAACCTGAGGTAAAGGTATATCTGAGCACCTTCTGCATTTCTCAGCCTTTATCTGCTCTCTTAACCTTGCTTCTAAAGTGATGAAGATTGAGAGCTTTTGGCAAATTAACAAGGTTATATGCATCCTTCTTCAAAGCTATTTTTGTATTTCACCTACAAAGGATTTATTTAGCCATTTATAGGTTTACCTGAATGCCATTTGACTTGAGGTTTTTTTCATGCAGCACAGGGAAAGTCAGAAAGAGCTGAATGTGGATGTTCTGGAGCCAATAAATAGCAATTTTTAAGGCCTCAGGCATTATTATATTTTCTTATGTTCAAAGTAGCCCAGCTCAGCTAGATTAGCCTGGACAGACTGAGCTGTGTTTCAGAGCTTTTCCAGCTACCCTTACATTTATCACAAGTCCTTCACCACCTGACACAACTCCTACAGGACTTGACTAGGCACCACAGCACCTTTTACCTGTATTTATAGACTGTCTGATCAAGAAGGACTTGCAGGTGTCTTTTCTTTTTCCTAAGAAATACTTGAATAAGGCAAGAAGCTCTTGATTCTCTCCCTACTGCATTTGCTGGTGCTGATCCCTCTTGGCTGGTTGACTAACTACAGTTGAGTGCTTCTACATCAGTCCTGAGATGATCCAAAATATCCACCCACTTGCTTAAAGCAGTGAACTCATTTAGCCTTGCTAAGTTTACACCCTTGAGAAAATGCTTATCTCTAAATAATTTAGTCATGTGTGCAATTGCTTAGAGTGGATGCCACTGAAATCAGTGAGTGAACTGGTGTTTTGCATGTATCTCTGGTCTTTCACTGTGTGTCCCCCTGTCACTAATATCCCCATCTCATTAGAAGGAATTGTCCCTTCTTGAACACACCTGGAGAAAAACCTCTAATATAGAATGACCCTGGTTGGTCACTCTCTTGCTTAATACCACCAAGATTTGACCCCTTTAGACCTCTTTACAAGCTGTTTCTCCTTCAGTGTTGGCTGTCATATGGGCAGCTGTGTCGCATAACTGATTGCCCTTTGAGGTGGATCCACAGGGAAAAAGTCCTTCCTCAAAGAGCAGGATTAGGATGCAGCATCCTAATTTCCAAGCCTATTTTCAGATGCGCCTTTTGAATTCTCTAACTATCTATAGCAGGGTGTTTTGAGAGTCTGTTTTGTGCATTTTAAATTGCACACGCCAGCAAAAAGGCTAAAGATTAAAAGAGTTAGTAACCTTCAGATAGTATGTGAAAAATGTGTCTCTTCAAAGGCAGTTTCGCTCTGTGTTGTTGGTTCTGAAGGAAGAACCAGGCTGCACAAGTTTCAGCAGAAGTTTTCCTATTTTGTGTGTAACTGACTTCTATGTCATTAGAAAAACAGTCAGTCTTAAGTACAGTGTCAAAATGTCCCTTTTTGCATAAAGAGGTTGACAGTGATATTCTGTTGTCAGGCACTGTTGGAGTTAGAAGTATTCTATAGCTTTTAATTGCTTAACCATCTGAATATTTTGTGTAATTCAACATGCCAAATTCATGTAAAAATCTCTCGAAATAATGTGTCCTGCACATTCTTACAGGATTTCTGATGTCAGTTCTTCCTCTTTTCCCCAGTCCAGCAGTGTTTTTGGGTAATACAGCCATTTCAGCTTTTCAAGAGAGTATAAATTTTATTCTTTTTTTCTTCTACTCATTCTTTGAGAGCACTCATCCTGCCTCCCAGCTGCCTGTTCTGCACCAAGATTTCGGCATGTGTGGAAAGATGTTGTTCTATTGACTTCAGCAGGGGAATTACCACTGTTAGTAGCAGCTGACCAGAGGGAATTGAAACTGGCAATTTGACTTGCATCTGATTTTGCTCCAGCGCCTCTGGAGCATGACAATCCATGCTGCATGCATGAGAGTGAACACCAGAGAAATCCTATCACTTTCCTTAAATTTAGGCAAGTATGACAAGATGACTTGCAACACCCTTCTTTGCTTGTTTTGAGAAAAGCCCTCCTATTATTTCTGGTACTTAAAACCACATAAACCCACAAAATAATGGCTTTACCTTGGAATGGATCCAGGAGTGGATCTGGGACGCATGCTGTGCAGTGAGAACACACTCTGCCCCAGAAGATGCTGTACCTGCAGTGTGGACCACAGGGCAGGTTGTCCCTTGGGTGGGCACCACAGTGACAACACAGGCATGGTCAGAGGTATTTTCTGCAGTAGTTGCTGCCTGTTGGCAAGCAGAGCCACCATGCAGTCATGGAAAACACAGCGTGCTGTGGTGTGGGGACTGGGAGCAGGGAGAAAGGATGAAGCAAGCAGAGACCTCTCAGTAATTTCAGAGCCTCACTTTATAAGCAGGGCATATTTTTGAGTGCTTACACTGGATTAGAATCAAGGTGTTACCTGGTCCTGGGGAATTCCCAGAGAGCATGGTCTAGGCTGCTCGTGGGTGCACTCAGGAGCTGTTTGTGTATAATCCAGAATTAAATACACATCCTAGTAATCAGCTATAGATTTCTCTGCACTCCAGACTTAAGTGTTATTAATTATATCCCCTACTCAGAAGCCTCCAAGAAGCATTAATTAGAAAGCAAGAGCTGGTGGTTTGCTTGTCTGTGTGAAACTGTTATGACCTGAGAGTGAAGTATAAGCTTCAAAAGAAACGTGTTTTATGAAGGTCACCTTGGAAAACATCATAACAATCTGTCAGGAAAAGAGAATGCAGCACTCTGAGTGTTCATTTCAGTGTGACATTATGCTTTAAGTAGTTGGAAATAGCAAAGAGAAGATGGATCAGATCATAGGGTCTATGCTTTTTCACCCAAAATTCTCTTCTTTCTGCGGTAAGTACATATAAAGTAATCTCTTTGTCATTTCAATGGGATGCAAGGAAAGTTAATATCAACAGAAATCCACAGATAAACATAATCTGGCCCTTGCTGATATTTTTGAAGTGTAAAACATCCAGACCCTCCACCTCTGCAGTAAGGAGAAGGTTTATACACCAGAATTACATTATCTCTTCAAGGGAAGATAGAAACAGCCAGAAGTGATGCAGCAACTGTGTACAGCAGTGATACCCATACTGGAAGGCTCAGGGCAAAAGGCTTCCCCAAATAAATGTGGTGTGGTAGTGCACAGCCACCTCAGTGTCGAGGTTGATTATTTTTCTGGTTGAAGCATATGATTATTTCTTACGAAAATAAAGCTAAAAGAGAGTTAGCCAGAGTTATAAATGAAATATCTTCCTCTTGTAGGAGGCCAGCATAGACATAAATTCCCCCTCACACCTATTCTGGGGCTCTGTTTTGTGGCTGTAAGTAGTGCTGTGCTGAAAGTTATACATCTCCTTCTCTGGACTTTCATTTCCCTATAGGTGGCCATTTAATTCAGCTGTCGAGTACATGAATTCTGTACAGCACTGCTTGGATCCTGTAATTATAGCTACAGTAGAAACATCAGGGCCAGAGACACAGACAAGATTGTACAGTGCAAAGGCAAAGCAGCAAATGGTTACTGGTGGCAAAGGAAGCTGACAGAGAGCCAAATGTTCTCTTCGTGTTCTCTTAACCTGCCTGTCCAGCAGCCTGAGTGCCTACTGGGCTGTCTGTCAAATACCAAATATTTTCAGTCTGTCAGTTCTTGATTCATCATTAGGCTTTGTGTGTCACGTTGTGTGAGAGGAAAATGGGGAAAGCCAAGCAAAACTGGTGCACATTGTGTCCCAGGACCTGGGATAAAGGAGCAGAGGTACAGGGCAATGCTGAGCTTCAAATAGGGATGATATCAACTGTGGTTAAGTACTTTTATACCCAAACCTCTGCTAAAATGGTGCTAATCTTTTGCCCCCAAAGCTGCCAAAGGATGCACTTACTGAGCAGCCAGACCCTCCTTGAAGCAGATTCACAAAACACGTGCCAAGCGATTCACAGGCTGCCATCAAACTGTCAGTCAGGAGGGGCACACAATGGAAACTGTTGCTCAAAATGCCATCGGAATAGGAAACATATGTTTCAGTGAGAAAAGACAATCAAACAAAGAAGTGGGTGGCTGGGGAATTGCAGCCACCACAGCAGCAAGGATCCGAGCCTCACACACAGCCCCGGGCAGAGAGCTCGGGGGCCGTGCCCTCGTCTAACAATTGGGTAACAGCTTTGTGTTTAATAAGCTGAAATAATTCCCCCAGTATTGAAGCCAGCTCTAAACACATTCTGAAGTGAAGGTACAAAACTGAAGATACCAAGCCAAAAGCCCATTTCATGCTCAATTATTAGCAAAGGTTTGTATCGTGGTATCCTATTGCTGTAGCTGCTGCTTAATAGAACTGCCCAGAGAGACATTCTAACCAGCAACTCCAACGTGACCTCAAAGCTTGAGACCTGCCTTTGTGTGAGTGTCAGTATCTAGGCTGTGTAGGTGGAAAGGCATTAATAACTCCTCCAGTAAGTAGTTATTTGAGAAAGGAAGGGGGTGATGGACACTGGAAATGTGTTGGATTGAGCGTACTGGAGGCTCTGTTGTTTGCCAGGACATCAGTCTCTACACAAAAAGACAGGTGTTGCAGGGGTAAACCCAAATGCCCTGTTTGTGTCAGCACCTGGGGCTCTTGCAAGCCTCCAGTTAATGCTCTTGCAATAGCAATTGTACCGTGAGCTTGGGCAGGGATTTCACATGCAGCTTTCACAGCTGCAACCTGCTACAGTTGTCAGGCTCTCAGCATTTCTATTTCTCTGCTTCAGGAACACCTTCTAGGTCTGTCGTGGCACCTATTACAGGTCTCTTATTAGGATGGACCACCAAGAGGGGCACAAATTCGGAGCAGAAATGGCAAGAAATACACCATTCATTCTCCAGCATGTGAGACTGGGGGCATTTTCAGGGTGATGGCCCCAAATCACTGCAATATCTTGGCATTATGCAGAGTCCCCCCACAGGATCAGGTTGGATGAGGATATACAAGAGATGATGGTCTTGAAAGAGTATTTGAAGGAGCTTATGTAAGAGTTCATGAGCCCCAAAGAGTCTTGCATGAGGTTATTATAGGAAAATAGATTTGAAGAGTAAGAAGCTGGATTTGACGACATAAGATGCCCTTTATAATCCTTTGTTCCTATGAGCAGCGGTCAACAGAGCTGGAGCTGTGCTGTCTTACTCAGGGACATCAGAGAGGTTGCCTCACTTCATGTTTGCTTTTTGTAAAATGATCCTGACCTCTGTTGGAGGGTGTTCGGTGAGTTAGGAAGGAAAAGCACGTTGTAAAAGGCAGGCATTAGTATTACTTGGAAGTGAACTCTATTGTAAAAGCAGATAAAAATTCAACCAAATGGTCCTCTTTATTGCTCTGGTAAATAATTTTAAAATAGTTGTGTGCAAGGATTTTCCCCTTTCTCTGTCACACAGGCTGTAACAGGAGCTGGAATGTGCCGTGTGTGGGTTTAGCACTGAACATTTCCTTTTGCCTGTTGCTGTCAGTGTCTCCTGTCGGAACATCCTAATGAGCACCTAAGTCGTTAGTAATAAACAGCCTTACATTTTGTCTTACTAACAAAGATGAAAGATGCTATTATGTGTAACAATCTTTTATGTTTGATATTTCTCAGGTAACAAAGTGTTTGAAACACATCCAGTGACATAAGGAAGTCCCCAGAAAGAAAGACTTCATTCTCCAGTTCTCAGGGGCCCTGGAGCAGCAGCTCAAAAATTTTATTATGTTCAACAAATGTGGGATTCTTCTATGAAAAATTTTATTGGACCTTTGGATATCATCAGGGTTGAATTTCAGCTAAGACAACTAACAGCACTGGTTCAGATATTGCTCTGAGTAGTAACTCATATTTTTCTGAATTGTGTACTTGGGAATGAGTCTTTTTAAATTGTCCCTCGGCCTAAATTGAAATAAAGTGCTAGCAAAATCAGGTAGCTACTGTGTTTTGGTACATTACAAAGTGTTTACTCCATGTTGTGCTTTTTGATTCAATTACTGTATGTGGGCTATTACCTCATACAAAAATTAGATCTTTTAGCAGTATGACAATTCACACAAACCAAGACTTTGTTACAGACTAGCCAAGATAAACTTGGAGAGCTGCTGTTTTCTCAGGTGAGTTCTATAACAAGAAATGTAAAGCTTCCTAAGATCTTTCTTTTCTCTGTTCTTTTAATACATTGTGACAAGGCTTCTGGAGCTTAAGGTGATACAAAACACTTCTGCAAAACAATTAATATGTAAAGTTGCTAATGGGATAATAATCTCATTAGGGTTAGACTGACACAAATGGCTGCTTGCAGCAACAAAACAACATGAGTGGGAGCCACCCACGTGGAACGAACTCTCGGCAAGAAATGCCATGTTTGGAGCCCTGCACAGGAAGAAACCCACCACAGGTTAGTTGTTGATTGCTAATATGTAATAAAGGAAAAAAAGTCAAACAGATGGAAGAGAGAAGAAATAAGTCTGCAAGACATGGATGGAAAGAGAATCCATAATCTTCCTCTGGAATTGCAGGAAAGTGACAACTGAAGCTTTCTGTGTCCCCTGAAATCAGGATTGAAGACAAAATGCTGCCATGTCTCACAGTAAGAACCATGCTGAGGGAGGCCATATGGTGCAGACTCTACCTGAGGGCTTGAGGAGGTCAGGGTCAGGTCCAAACCAGAGCCCAGCAGTGCTTTGCATGCCTGACAGCACAGTGTGGTCAGGGTCCAGAACAAATTAAAGTGCTCTGTGATACTCTGTCCTAGAGGGTTGCAACCTGACCTGAGAACTATGAAAATGCACAGTGGATGAACTCCAAAAATTTTCCTTAACTATTTCTCTACTGTGCACTGCAGAGCAATTCAGTCCATTAGTTTGAAGTCTTTATGCTAGTTAAATATAAACAGAAACACTAGAACCCAATCACTGACATTTGATTCTGGTTTTTACTGTGGTGCTGTTAAAATATTGCTCCTGAAAAGTCAGTTTGATTCAAAGATTTACTGTGACCCAGTGTGGCCCCCAATATCTTCCATTAGCCCTTTTAAAAACTCTGCAGATTGTAACACTATTTCTTTTTCCATACAGAGTAAATGAAAAGTCCATTTTGATGGTGTCTGCACTTTTCAGACCCTGAACAAGGGCTGAATAAACAGGAAATGAAGGTCAGGGAGCAAGAAGTGACAGAGAAGGTAAGGTGAGCAGACAGAATGGTCAAAGATGCTGGCAAATGGGCCAACACAAATGGTGTTCCTTTTGCACTTTAGTATTTAAAGTAGCTGTGATTTCACATAGAAGGAAGACAACCCTTGTGCTGCTGGGGAGCGTGAAAAGAAAAACCTGAGCATCAGTTACATTTGCAAGGTATTTTCAAACCTGATTCTCAATGGCTTCCTATTAAGTATGGAATATTCTGTATTAATTCTGTAGGCTGTGATGAGCGGGCGCCGCGCCAACCATTTTGCATGGGGGCTGCTGAGGAGATGAGTGCTGAGCTCCGTGGAAGATTTCATTTGTGTAAATGAGGAGGCCGTTATCACAGCACTAAAGGTCCTGCTTTTAAAAAAAGCCTCCTGTGGCATTATGCACAAAACAACCTATTTATGCAGCATGAAAATATTTATGTGCTTCACTCCAGCTTAAAAAGGGAATTTGCAATAGATGAGGGACATGAGAAAGGATTGGAGTGAGAGATAAGGAGAGATTAGGAAAGGCAGATCACGAAGTACATGACAGCAGTATGTGGAGTAAACCCCCGCCTTTTTCTAAGACCTGGGCCTTTAGGATGGTGTCTGGATCATTTATATAATTCCTTTACACTAATTTTCCACAGGCAGGGAGCTGTATGCAAAGATGCAGCTGCTGGAAATGTGAAGAGATGCTATGCTGAAGGCACTGATGGCCTTTGTAACCAGCTTTGTCCTTTACAACCTCAATCGCTCACCCTCATGGGGTCATGCCCAGGGCTTGCCTTTGGGCTGGGGGGATGCTGCAGAGTGCTGAGCTCCCCACTCCCAGCACAAAACATGGGAAAAATTGCTTGTGCAGGGACTCAGATGGACATAGCACAAGTGGAGTGGTCCAAGTGGGGTGACTTCCTAAGAGGACAGAGCTAACTGTGCTCACTGTTTACACAGCTCAGACTCTTGTTCCCTGTCCTTACACCCAGGCCTTTTCAATTACTAAGAGTTTAGAAGTGAGCAGTTCTCTAAAGGGCTGCAGGGGCTGTGCCTGTGTGTCTCTATTTTCACTGGCAAACCAGTTGTGCTGGTTTGCACTGGCAAAGGCATGAGGATATTTGCTAATTCTCTTTCAGCAATTCAGCATTATTCTTGTTCCAGATGCAGATGCACCAGCTCCTGGTTCTCTGTGGGACAGCTGATGCCACCCCAGTAGCTCAAAAGGGCTTGTTTTTTGACAGATCAATGGGCTGGGAACGGGTCGTGTCAGCTCCTTGAAGACGTCGTGTGGTATTTCAGAAATTGGCTTTGTGCTGCTTCTAACCTCCCCCAGCACACATACACCCTCCCCCAGGTATCAGGATCTCATTTGACTCTGTGCTCAAATAACAGAGTATTTTGTTTTTAATTAATGTTGGAGAGAAGGGAAAGTGTTCTGTTGGTCTCTGTGGGAGCCTGACTTGGCTGCAGACTCAGGATGATGCTAAGACAGAGGGTCCTGGCTGCAGTGGGGGAGTCAAGGTCAGTTCCTGGCATGTGACAGTACCCTGAAATGTGACCAGGGACTGAACACCCCCTGAAATAGAAATACCTGAATCCATGTGGGAGCTGGGGGTGATCTCACACCCTAGCTGAAAAGTAATGCCCCAGTACTCACAGAGCTAATGAAAAACTTGCAAGCCCTAATACACACATAGTGACAGCCATGAAAGTACCGAAATAATTTCTATCTCAGCTTTCTGTGTCTTCCTATCCACTCCCCACCTCTCCCTGTCACTGTGGTCGATGGCTGCTGAAAAGCCTTGTCCGATTCCTGCGTCTGGTTCCTGACGTACAGGCCAGCAGTGCTGTGAAGGAGAAAATGCTGCTGCTCATGTAAGCTGTCCTGTGTTTTGGCAGGGCTGTGAGTTTCAGAACAGAGTGATATATTTCAGCTCTTGTGAAATTTCTGAATAATCAGCTCATCAAAAAATATCATGCAGAGTTCCCTTGTAGTCCTCTCCAACTTGCCACCTCTCCTGCCAATAGCTCCATAGGGTGACCACAGCTTGGCAGAGCCCATTAGCAGAGCTCTGCAAAATCACTCATGAGTAGAGCTGGCTGGAAAATACAATTTTCCTTCCTGGGGAAAAAAAAAAAAGATTTGGTGGGGCAGGGGGGATGTTTGACTTGACATTTCAGGATGAAGATTTTCTCCACTGCTCCCTTCAGCACCCTCTTCTGCTTCCCTCCACACCCCACCCTTTCTCCTCCTAACTCCATATTTTAGAAGGTGACTCCAAGAAAATAAAAATTCTGCTTAAAGTGGCAAAGACAATGGATGCTGTTTGATCTGCTGGTGACCTCTTCCTGGCCCCAGGGCCAGAAGTCTCACTGCAGTATGGACATCAACACACTAGCACCTTCTTCACCTGAGACTCCTGAGCAAGTTGTCCCTGGACCTGCACATTTTTCTGCAACTGCCCTGTTTCTTAGTTGGAGTTTCTTCAAGATACTCTTCTCCTCAAATAGCTCAAAAACGTGCTGTTTGGGCATCTGGGAGCTGGCAACCATGTCTCTATGCATGGCAAGATGGTGGTAAACCCAACCAGTGGTGCTGTGCTGTGGAAACAAGAGGCCAAGCAGCCAGAGTCACTGACCTGCTGTCAGCTGCTCCTCTGGGTCCTGGGCTGCCTCCAGGTATGTCCCTCTGTGCTTTCCCATTCATTCTGGACATGTGTCTCTCAGTCCCAGGTGATCATTGCTTTGGCTGGGAAGAGCAGACCTCCTCGCTGTGTCCTCTAACGATGCTCAGGGCTGTGACGCTGCAGGGAGGAGGCCAGGCTGGCTGCAGACCTTGTCCTTAAGGCAGGTGGCACGTAAGGGCTATAGAGCAAGGAGGTGGAAAAATCAATAGTTAGTGCATTAGGATTAGAGTTGTTGCATGAAAGCCTTATGTGGCCAGGATTATATTTTTTAGGTCTGCACTGACTGTGGCACTTGGTGTGACGTGGGTTTAGTACTTTTGTCGCATTGCAAACCCCTGTATGCACATGTGGGACACAACTGAATCCTTCAGCAAGCGGTGGCTCCAGCACAGGTTTTGAGCACCACCTGTCCCCTCCTTGGATCTGCCTCGATCTGGCCACAGCTGCATTTGCTCTGTCCCTCTTGTGTCACCCAATCTCTTTCTGCTCAGGCTTTTGTTATTTCTTTTGTCACCATAGTGACAGGAAAAGAGTGATGATTGCTGGAGTAATTTCCCATATTAGCTAGCACTGGCTTTTCAGCCTAAATCAGGTCTTCATTTTACCTGTGCTCTGGCTGAGCCTCAGTGGAGCAGCATTAAAGAGCGGTGGTGGAGGGGCCTCGGTGTGTTGCAGTGCTGCCAGCACTCCTCTGGGACAGCTGAGGCAGGGACAGGGCCTGCAGGTTACAGAATCACAAAATATGTGAGTTGGAAGGGCCCCACAAAGATCATCAAGTCCAACCCTTAGCCCAGCATGGGACCATCCCCAAGAGTCATACCATGTACCTGAGAGCATTGTCCAAAAGCTTCTTGAACTCTCTCAGGTTTGGTGCTGTGACCACTGCCCTGGGGAGCCTGTTGCAGTGCCCAACCACCCTCTGGGGGAAGAACCTTTTTCTAATATTCAACCTAAACCTCTCCTGACACAACTTCAGGCCATTCCCTCAGATTCTGTCACTGATCCCCACAGAGAAGAGTTCAGTGTCTTCCCCTCCTCTTCCCCTCACAAGGAAGTTGTAACTGCAATGAGGTCTCT